ATGTAAGTAGGGTTTCCAAAAGAGTGTGTGTATGTACTGGATTGTATGATATGCGCAGGGAATTATCCCTTCTTTTGCATCTATCATATCAACTTTATTTTTTTTTAGACTTGTAGTAATTTTTTTTACCCCATAATGGTTGCAAACTATGTTTAGGTGTGGCCTCCTTTGATATTTTACATACTAAAGTTTTACACACAAAACAATAACATGCAACGCTTGGGAGACAATCTATACGCATGTATAATAAGAATACATTGTTTAGTTTAGGTATGTAATTTATTTTCAAATTGCATGTAAAGTAATTGTACTGTTTTATAAATGCACGTGAAGTATTTTACCACCCCTACATCAAATATTTTACATGGTACAATGTAAATATTTTTAAAAGCATCTTACAGTTTGCATTAAATAATCAAGTCAAACGGCGTAAATTTTTATATTGTACAATTCACATTCTATATTTAGTTTACATCTTAATAAACACTCTTTATAGCCAATTATCATTTTGTTCGGCAGAAGATACATAAAAGGTTAGATTCTACTTGATATGTGAAGACCATAAAACAACTCGAATATTTATAGCGAAATTGACAAGATTAATCTCTACTTTGATCAATTAAACAAAAATAATCCCTACTTCAAATATTTACAGAATTAATCCAAACTTCCCTTACTGTTGCTAGAAATACAACAAATGAGACGGAAGTAAATTTCCGTCTGAACCTCCGTCCGCTTGAGGGAATCTCTATTCTCTAGGCTGGGCAATTTCAATCCTTCTCCATCTTCATCTCTTACCATACGGAAGTCTTGTATTTGGATCTCCCTCTCAAAATTTCTGAAACAGCACATGGCCGCTTTGCTATAGCGACGAAATCGTGAAACACAAGAACCCAAATGGAAACACAAGCATGGTGTTTCTTCTCTGTTGCGGATGGTGTCCTCAGGGCCGAACAAGGGGCAGGCATAAATACTAATTTTTTATTCACGATGCCCAGATTCCTTTAGAGAAAGGAGAATGTCGCCTAAGGCCTACAGTAGCAAAAAACACTTGAGATGTTACTGATAGAACAAACACATTCCACCGCAATACAAATGATATATTAAGTAAAGGATTCAGAACAGAGACAGTGAAATCTGTGAATCAATTATGCATTTATGCTTTGACGAGGGAGTAATTGCGTGAGAGGCCAAAGATTAATAGGGACTACTCATTGCTTCTTCGACCGCAGAGAAAGGAGAGAGAGAAAGACGAGGAGTTTAACGGTGTTTGTTTCAACGATAACCCTGTCACGTTTATTATATTTTTGTGACCGGGATTAGAAGTTTGGATTATTAATGTAGAATTTTGAAGTTGGGATTATTTTTGTTTAATTGGTAAAAGTAGAGATTATTTTTATCAATTTTGCCAATATTTATTCATTAAAACATTGGATGTTATTTGAATTTGCTCATTTATGTAATAAGTTGGAATGTAAACAAGTAAGTATATATACTCCCATTTGAGGGGAGTGAAATATACCAGAATAAGTTTAGGAAAATGCTTTGAAATGTTTATGATAAAACATATCGTAATTAAATATATACTCCCATTCTAATTTTGATTTCCTAAAAAGCAATAATAGAATCCATTCTAAAAATACTGAAAAGCATTATAAAATAGCATACTTGTTTTGCCCATAATGCACACATTATTCATTCAAAGAGCTACACCCTAATAGGAGACCCAATGTGGCATGTAAGATGAACATGGAGGATTCTTCCACGGTTGTTTCTTCAACAAGGGAAGTTTGGAGCAATTTTTGCAGCTCTACATATATCCTTTTTATTTGCAGTTTTGTACTTCTTAGTGCATCAAGTTCAATCTCATGACACTTGTACACTCTGCACTACATCGTGATATTCTGTCATATTGTCAATTAACTGCATTACAACCTCACTAAAAGTCATTAACTAATCTTATTAATTACTATGATTACCACCACAAACACCGCAAATTATACCCTACGACTGGGACACCATGAGGATGATGTGCCTGGTCCCTAAATGACATCATTTCATTAATTAAAAACAATCGTCTCTTGCAAAAAATAATAGACCACTAATGATCGATCATCTTCAATTCTGCCGCAGCTGCTTAGTGCACCGATGCAGACAAATTAGAGCATCACCCGATTCACCGATTGGAGGTTTGGAGCCACTTAATCAGATTCCAATTCTTTGCTCTTCAACCTTTGATTTGCTCAAAACCTTTGAGCAGGCTCTGCCTCCAATTTTGGAGGATGACTTGCAGGAGACAAGCTGCTTAGTGCACCCATGCAAAGAAATTAGAGCATCACCCAATTCATCATTGGAGGTTTGGAGCCACTTAATCAAATTCCAATTCTTTGCTCTTCAACCTTTGATCTGCTCAAAAGCTTTGAGCAGATTCAGCTTCCAATTTGGAGGATGACTTGCAGCCTTGCAGGAGACAATGAAAAAACAGCAGATTAATTACTTTTGAAAATGCATGCAGTTACATAAGAATTTGTCTAAAGTTACATGTCTATTAAAGCGAGTTACATGTTAATTTTCCTTGGCAAATTACATCTTACTTACATGTGATTTACATTTTACATAATGTGAGTTACACCGAAATAGAATGCGAGTTACACAACATAACAAGCCCCTGTTATAAAAAAACAAATCATTTCATAAAAAATCATTTTTATAATCCTGATATTTAAAAAAAACACATACACTATTTATGTAAAAAGTTTAGGCAATTAGACTATCTTTTTTATTAAAATCAATATTTTATTTCTTATAATATGTATTGAACAAGTTACATTTCGACTGGACTTGAGTTACATTGATCAATAACGCGAGTTACATTTCGTTACACATGAGTTACATCACTCTGCTACTGCGACAAAGAAAAAAACTAAAAAAACAAAAATTATTGTACGCGCATACTGTTCATGCGCGACTTTTTTATTAAAAAAATCAAAGTTGTGTCGTTTTGATTGCAGGAGTACGGTGTTCATCATGGGAAGGTTCCACGATATACGAACTCCACAAACACCGAAAATGCAGATATGAGCACGAGACATTTTTAATCTCATTGTGATCATCGGTAATGAAATTAGCACCAGAATTACCATAGAGTAACATAGCCCATGATGTCATTGCAACACTAAATTTAAAATGTTATTTTACTAAATGAGGAGTATATAAGCGGATAAACCATGATGTTTTAGGTGTGTTGTTGGAAGAAAAGAGGAACATAACCCAAATTTATCAAACAAATCTTCAAGTCCGGAATTTCGGAGCAGAACCGCCGTCCGGGCGGCGGCGTTTCGGGCTTTTGGCAATGTCATTCATCAAATATAGTTTATCCACAAATAATCGGCTAAAAATTCAATCAGTCAAATAAGTTTTGGAAGATAACTGCCTTTTATATAGGGGTGAACAAAAAAACCGAAAAACCGAAACCGACCGCCAAACCGACCGAAACCGACCGACCAAAACCGAAACCGACCAAAACCGAAACCGACCAAAACCGAACCGATAAAACCGAAACCGACCGAAATTGACTAATTCATCGGTTATTCGGTTTACGGTTCGTACTTTTGGCTTAAAAAACCGGTCAAATGAAAATAAACCGGCAAATATGGCTAAAATTGACCAAAATTGTCTCAATTTTTGTGGCCCGATTTTCGGTTCCATCTATTTTTAAAGCCGCTAAAACCGCCCGACTAAAACCGAAACCGATCAAAACCGACCGACTAAAAACCGAAACCGACTAAAACCGACTAAAACCGAACCGATAAAACCGAAACCGCCAAAACCGAACCGACGAACACCCCTACTTTTATATGTATATTTTGGCACAGTTATTTTCCAAAATTTATTTGTCTGTCCTCACGATTGAATTTTTAGCCGAATTTTTGTGTGGATAAACTAGACTTAATGAAGAACATTTTCAAAAAATTCATCAAGTTTTTCGACCGAGAAGTGGACAAAACGCCGCCGACCGAACGGCAGTTCCGGTCAAGAAGGCCTGACCAGAAGAGTACTCAATTTATCAATTTAGTTCTTTATATTTAACTATCCACGACTAAAGCAGTAAAGCTCGTTTATTGTACATCTGACTTTATGGAGGCAAGGTGAAAAACTAGCTACTAATTAATTTCGTAACTAGAACAAGTATTATTCCCAAAAGATTTCGGAGCCAAAAAAAGAAGAAGAAAAATTAAAAAGATAAAGTAAGATAAAAAGGATAATATAAAGATAAATGTAAGATAAAAGAACATAAGATAGATATATCTTATGTTCTTTTATCTTACATTTATCTTTATATTATCCTTTTTATCTTACATTTATCTTAAAAGATAAAAATAACATAAATAAGATATAAAAAAAGGTCAAAACAAGGAGATAAAAAAATGTAGTTACACATTTGACTTTATGACATATTAATGTGGTTAATGAGATTGGAATGCTTGATAATATTTTAATAGAACAATGACATAACAATAAAAAGTAGTTAAGACCACCCAGTCCAAAAAAAATGGTTGGGTCCGGAACCTCCGGGTCCAAACCGCCTTTTTTCAGGTCTGAGCCGATTCCAGGTACCAGGTCAGTCCGGGCCCGTTACATTTTTTTCTTTTTTGGCCGGAGAAACCTAAAAAATGGGTCGGGACTGAAACCAGGACCAAAACAACCCGTTTCGATCCCCAAAATTGTGAACCCAGATCACCTGATACCTAATCATTAATCAAGTACCCGGTCCGGGACCGCCGACCAGGTCCACTCCTAGTATTCAACTTACACTGAAAAACTTAATACGGAGTACATCGTAGTGAAAATGATCAGCTCATGTAAACCACTAGTTTAGGTAGTTAAATCACCACAACAAACGCGAAAACAAAGGGGTGCCATCAAGGCCTAACACAGGCACACATTTCATATGGTCGCAAATTGGGGAAGAAAAAAAAACATGCATAGTTGAAGGACCGTTTTTTACTGTTTGCTCTTTTCTTTTTGTATATACGTATAAAGATAATAACGGGTTGGTTTGGTTTTGACTTAACTGTATCAGGCTTTCAGCAATACAGACATCCAAGAACGCCAGGTTTGGAAGAAGTGTGAGATGGCTAAGAAAATAATAACATCATACATCTATAAGTTGCATTCTATATATTACACAGCATATACCTTTCGTTCTTGGGGCAATGGGGTGTAATAGCTATGATGGAGGAGTCTTCTTGTGTATACAAAGTAGCCTCAAAATTTTTAAATATAAAAAATAAAGAAAAAAGAATAGCCTACCTTTAAGAAACTACTGCATTCCAGAAGAAGAATGTGGGGGTAAAACAGCCGACACATCTGGCGTGGCAGCTGGAGTAGAACTAGATGCCTGATTAGAAGTTGTAGATGAGTGCCCAACCAACCTGTTAGCCAAGAGGGCTTGCAACTGTGGTGAGATGTGAGGTGGGAGAGACGGTCTAGGAGATTGAGCTTGCTGCTGCTGGGTGGTGGTTGGTGGTGGCTGCTGAATGGGGATGTAGTGTTCCAGAGCCTCAGAGAATGCTCTTCCCGATAGGCTACCACGCATACGCCCCACAGGCCGCCAGTCCTTATCAGGTCCTGATCCTAAATCAACCGGCACTGTGTTTCCACCTCTCTGGTCACCCCCGCCCCCAGTGAATGAGGATATTGATACACCCCGTGAGGAGGCTTCAGCGTTTCTTGGAACAGAGCTAGGAGGGGCGGCAGATCGGGATAATTGGACGGGTCTTGCTACCTGAGCCGTCCTCTGGGCGGTGAGCATCGGCTGAAGGTGTTGGCTACTAACAACGCCGCTGCCTCTTGCCGGGGGGCCTCCAACTTGCAAATTACTTTGGGGGTTGATTCGGGAGAAACTGGCAGGTGACCTAGAGAGGCCTTGTTGAGATTGCTTTGGGGTGTGGGATGTTGTATGCTGGTTGTTGAATAGTCCCTGCCGAATTGCATTGAGTGGTTCAGCTGCAAATCCAGGAGGTCCGAAAGGAGTATGTGACTGAGCTGGATTTTTGTGGCCAAAAATCTGTTGAGTTGGGTGCATATGAGCAAAAGAACGCTCTACCTGCTAGCAGCAGCACCAAAAGAAGGGAAAAACTGAAAAGTCACAAAAATATTCTGAACCCAGAAGTAAGAAGTAAGAACCAAAGTGAACAGTTTAGTCTCCGTTGACTGCAGAAAAGGGGAAAATAAGTCGTTCTATGTATAAATGTAGAATATACTCCCTTGACCCAAAAAAGAGTTATGCTCTAGTAAGGTACAGCTTTTATTTTAAGTAAACGTAAATCAAGGTACATCTGTTTACAAGTTACGAATGGTCGTTCATACCCCAAAAACTTGTTTCCGAAATTGTTTAGAGTAATCGTTGACTAAACGCGCTTGCAGCTTGAATTTGCATGAATTTTACTTAGTGAAAGTTGGCTTTCAAAACCGGATTCTTTTTGGGGGAAAAAGAGAAGTTCTAGAAAAAGTAACTCTTGTTTTGGGACAGAGGGAGTTATGATTAATCCCCTTCCCACAAAAGTTCAGGCAAACATGTTCCTCAGCATGGAAAATTTAGGAAACCTTTTCCTTAAAAAATAATTTTCTGCAAGCAAATAGAGCCTAAAAACAATCATATCAAGGGCAACTAACCTGTTTATTAGGTAACGCTGCTGATGGGGCATGTGATGACTGGACCATATTTGAGTTAGCTCTGGAGAAGCTTTGCTGCCTTTCGATGTTACTAGGACCTGAATTGTTCGTGACAACAGATGTTGCCTGAGATGCTTGTGAAGAGCTGTTGAGAATTGAGGAGTCATCATTATTTCTGGGTCTTTGCTGAGGTACAGGAGGAGAGGGCGCCTGAGCAGGAAGAGCCTGAACTGCAATTGCCGCTCTACTCACTGCATGTCTAGTTATTGACGGCATCCTCCCATATTCATTAGTATTACTCCCCGAGTTCCCAAATTGAAACTGCTGTAACTGTAAGCTGTTGCTGTTAGGTGACGAATCCCCACCCTGTGTGACGGAGGCAGGTATAAGGGCATTGGTTAAAGCAGGTGACGGCATTAAATTAGTTGGAATAGGTTCAGAAACACCAATCTGCTGAGGGTTGGAACTAGATCTAGATGTTCCTAACTCAAATGTGGAGAGATAAAGGCCCGACCAGAAGTCACTGTTCACGCTTGGAGTCTGATTAACCTGTGTTGGATTATTAGGTGCGAGAAAAGGTTGGTCTTGGCTGTTGGTCTGGAAACCTTTATGGTCTTCTTCCAACCTTACTGTACCTACAACATCCATTTCATCGTCTATCTCAGTGAGATCCATAATATCTGAAGACAAGTTCGAGACACCACCGGAATCTGGAAGAATAGTTTCATCTTTTGAAAATTTGGGGTTATTTGAAGGGGTATTGTCAGTATGTCCATCACTTTCCATGATTGCCTTCCACGAACCATCTGAAGAGAGGACCACATCAGTGATGTTCTTCCCAACTTCTTTCAAGACCTTTAATGTGAAGAAAACTGTGTTATTTCGAGACAAATTATTTTCTTTTTCGTTTCTATTTTTTTCCGGAAGGAAATGAAGGACATCACTTGCCTTGGCCATATCTTGATCAATACGAATATCTGTGAAGCAGACATGCTGGTTACAATGAGGACAGCGCCAAGACGGTCTTCTTGAATTTATATCAATATAGTTATGATAATCAAAACACTACGATGAACGAAACAAGTTGGTGTTAGAAATGACTATTGAAAGAGAAATGATGGACATATCAAAGGCTCAAAACAAAGCAAAGGGAAATGGAAAAATAAATTGATTGAATGATTGATTGAAGGGGTGCAGAGGACATTTTTGCGATTGGGTTCAGAAGCTGATGGCTTTCAAGCAAAGAATATATGGAAAATCTAATAGATCAACACCTGGAGGTAGAAATATATGCACATAAAGGATAATATGATAGAGAGCAAGGGGATAACCAGTATTGTAAGTACTCCACATTTGACCTATTACTATACTGAATTACTGATAGGATTTGAGTTTATCTTAATTTTGCAAAAGAGTAACTAGGAGTCACCTGGAGATGTTTGCATGACTGGCCCTTAGCAGGAGCCTTAATACGCCTGAAGCTGTACAATCAAAGATGGAATCACTGCCAGAATGATTAAATAGATATCTCATATCTGGAAACAAGATAAATGAATCCAACACCGTGGGACAGACATGGGTGGTTCGAACTGATACATATTTATTTTTTGCAATGGAGATTCATGCTTCAGATTGAATCCTCTATCTACGCTTTAGACATGGATTCTATATCATGTAGATATCTAAGTTTCAGTTGGGTTCACATTCACAAATAAAACAATTACATCCCAAAACGTAAGGCACATTTGGGTTTGGCACAGTTTTTAAGATAATAATGGATATAGTTGTTTTATACAATTGCAACCTTCAAAAAGTAAGAAAAAGTGGCATGGTTCCACAAAAAGTAATTAGGTGAAATGATAGATAAAGGGACAAAGTAGGAAAGCTCTTTTTTCTAAAGGAGTACAACGGTTCTTCAAGTTAGGGATGTGTTCATATTTTGGGACAGCCCAGAGAGAAAATTGTATCTTACCAAACGGGGCTGAAGGAAATTCAATGCAGTAGGCAAAACTGTTTAGTCTATTCCAGCACGTCAGTAACAGACGCCTAAGGAAAAAAAGTAGCATACCTTATAGGACAATTCAGGGAAATTCTTGATGGCCCCTCGATTATCTCAGAATCTACATTGTTATAAAAAGACAATAATCATCAGTGCTAGTTTTACATTTCAGTGGAAGCAGTAAGCAATATACAAAGTTAAGAGTTCTGAAATTTTACAGTTCAAATGGAGAAGGGAATGTGAAGCAAAGAGTAGTTTAGCTTCTTTTCTTTTTTCAATTTTTATCAATAAAATGACTTAAAAGTATGCTTGTCATCACTATTTCACTATTTCAGTAACATGAACTGTTATAAAAAGTGGCAAAAGGTGTCACCAGGCATGAGGCGACGAGGAAAGATCCCACAAAGTAGCTAGGTGGGGGAAAGGCTAACAAATTTAATGTTGACCACCAAAGGTCAATTTGGAGAAAATATAATGATGTTCAAATCAGGAAAGTGGACAGAATTTTAGGGCGGACTTAAAAGGAAAGTAAGACAGCTAAAATGGGACGGAGGGAGTAACATTTAAATTTTTACGGGTCAGACTATTTTTTCTTCCATTTACAAGATTATATGGTAAAATAACAAACATCTCCTTTATTTTCTTGAAACTAATGCCAAACCCAAATGTATACTACACTTTGGGACGTTGAAGTAGGAAACTTATTGCTATTTGTATCAACTATGAAATCTAAGAGTAAAACTAATGATTTTCTATTTTGCAGTTGTAGTTTGTTATACTTTAAAAGACATGTGTACTGAAACAAGTGAAAAAATTGTTGCAACGTGAATAAATTAGTTGGATATTTATTTCTTTTACCTATGCATTCACTATAAAATAATCAAAATTTATTTTAAAAGGTACATAATGTCTTTCTACGGCTAGGCTTCCAAGGCTTGGCCTGACCACCTTGCGACGCGCCTGTAGGACTGTGGTAACATTTAAGCAGACTTAACATAAATCAAACAGATATGAAATTGTCATTATTGTATCCCTAATTCCCTTTTAGACAGTATTGAGACAAAATCGACATTATTAATAGTACTTTGAAAGTAAAAGGACCTAATCACCTAATATATGCTTCAACAGGCATAAATATCCATTCAATGGGTACCTGGATCTACTGATGCTGGAGCGGGATGCACATAATCAGGAAGGGTGGCAGGGTCAGGGGTTGGCCTCATGCTCATAAAGGCAATAACAACAATGTAGTTTCCTTCTCAAAGATGAAATTCAAAAGTGTAAGGCTTTAATTTAGTATTTCCAACATAAATTAAAAACTAGACATTGCAATATAGTTTAATGAACCTACCATTAAATTCGCCAACAGCTTGAAGAAGATTTGTTCCATATTTAAGCATATGTGATACAACTGTTGGAACCTGAGGACCAGTATCCTAGCAAGAAAAGTTATCAAGGAAATATCACTAGTCATATAAATTGCAGTAAATCAGCCAATTGAGACACGATGGTCCTGTGTGCATAATAATAATGTTTCAAAAAATTATTACTACACCATACAGTTGCATTTGTTCGCTTTTCCACCCCTTTCCCATTGAGGAGAAAGCTGCAAGTGAGAAGCAAGATGAATATGCAGAGTTATCATACAAACTATACAAACTTGTACACTTCTACAGTGCTTGTTGGTATGGTGCAGACTACCGAGTAGCTTACATCTAAAAATAGAAAGGATGTGCTGCAATTTATAATTTTAAAAATGGAGAGTAGGAGCTATGTTTTAGAAATCAGAAAACTACACATCCACATCCCACTGTTTCTATATTTTAGATATCAGCACTGTAAACTTTCCTAGATGTGCAAGTGTGTTTGCAAAAGATATGGAAAGTGGTCTTGTTTTTACTTATGTTTAGGTAAAGTGGTTTCATACATTGCTTGAGAGGGGCTTATAAGACATGATGAAGTCTCTGTGTTATCTATTTGAGCAACCAGTAGCCTCTGTAAAAGAAAAGGGCACGCAAAATATGAGACTACTAGACATTCTTCAAAGGGAAGTTAATACTTTCAAACAATGATGAATAATAAACATGAGTACGGTCATAAATGGTTAATATCAATATCTGCCTCTTATTAAGTCTGTCACCAAGGGAAACTTTAGATAGCTAAAAAGAATGTCAACAGAGATTGCCAATGAGATGCTGTCAGAAACTGTTAGACTGTTAGTAAGAGAAGATACTAACCAATTATGTGCAGCATGACAAGCACCCGAATTCAAGTTGGAATAATAATATAGATTATTCTAGAGTGATAGAGATCATATAGGTTTGATTTACAAAACTCACAGAAAAAAGTAGAAGAATGTCATCTTAGGATGTAAACTTTTTCCATCATTTGCAATGGAGCCAAAGATTCACTATTTTTTGGCTTGTGAATATGATAGATTACAGCAAAACGGCTCACTAAACTGTTTGCGCTTCTTTATTATGAAGTAGCAGTCAGTCCATGAATTTTTTAACGCGAATTTCACCATGGGTCATCTGGAAACAGTCTCTCTGGGGTAAGACTGTGTACATCGACCCCCCCTTACCGCACCGTAGGTGGGAGCCTTTGCGGCACTGGGGTGATGATGATGATGATGAATGTTATCTTAGGATTACTATAAATATGCGCAAGGAAAATCTTAAATGTTTTTAGAATGCTATCTTAGGATAACTATATTGATATCTTAGAATACTATCCAGCAACAACAACATTACTTCAGTGCCGCAAAGGCTCCCACCTACAGTGGGGTAAGGGGGGTCGGATGTACGCAGCCTTACCCTTGTACTAAAGCACAAAGAGACTGTTTCTGGACGACCCATGTTGAAAATCGCGTTGAAAATCGCAAAAAAGAAAAATCGCATGGATTGAGCAATGCTTCATTACAAAGAAGCGCAGAAGTTTAGTGAGCCGTTTTGCTTTATTCTATCATATTCCCAAGACAATAAATAGTAAGTCTTTGGCTCCGTTGGAAATGATGGAGTATTAAAAGCATATTATCTAAAACAGAGTACATGTATTCATAGGAATATTAGAAGCCAAATATAGCATAGGTTTTTGGATCATTTTGAGATTCTCTAGAGCAAATTACAAACTAGTCTCTCTGTCCCAAAATATTAGTTACGTATTTCCTTTTTGTATTGTCCCGAAATAAAGGTTACATTTCATTTTTTGGCAAATGATCCTACATACAATTCATACTTCACCCTTCCTTTTACTTAGATCCACAGCTTTGTAATTTCAACTTTACTTGCTTTTTCACTTCTACAGTAAAGGAAGACGATAGGTTGGGTGTTTTATCCAATTTTCTCAATCTACAACTCCAAAAGTTTTGTTACTATAATTTGGGACAAAGGTAGTATTTGAGAAGATTGCGTATTGAAGAAAGCTTTTCAATCAATGAGTGAAATGTATACTATTTTATCTTCGGGAGAAGTCTTCACATTCTTCGACATATAAAAGTCATTGATGAAAGTTCCATATCCTGCCTGTAATTTAGAAACCAAACAGGTACTATCAATACCAAAATAATTCAAATTACAAAACTACAGTATAAAGCTCACACGTGAGCTTGTACTCAAAGAGGTGGTTGGAATACACAATTACCGTGACTTCTAGAAAGGCAAATATCTCACCCATTTTCAATAGAGGAAAGAACCTGCAAGTGCAGAAGAATTCTTCAGGCATCATATTAAGGTGCAAAGTTGTCCCTAGTTTCTACTTTCTACCTAACTTGTGTTCTTCACCTAATTTGGTGCCCACACACACACATAGATAGTATAGAGCTAAAACTAACATTTATCGCAAAAATGGCTCAGGTCAACAGTAAACAAAAACCGAGGTGCTGAATTTGACTAGCATTAGTTAATGACAAAAAGAGAATGCTTATTTGTATGTATTACAAGATAAAGGATAACTACACGCAAGTATCACACTCTTCGTCGCAAACAAAGTTTTATTATCTTCACGATAAGACTGTTATGGGATATCATTCTATTTTTCAGTTGAATAAGCAGGTTGCATGGCCAACAGTCATACTCATAAAGATCAAACAAATAATCATGACAAATTGCAGCAAGTTAGTCCAAATGATTAAACAAAGGGTTGTATGAATTGGAAAGGAGTCGGGAAAAAAGAGTGCAAAAGTTACTACCTCGACATAACTGTTGAGATAATACATAGGGAACCACTAGGTTCGCAATTGAAATCTGGCGTACTGCAGAAGCTGCTAGAGATCTGAAATATGCATACAAACAATAATAGGGATAACCAGTACAATATGAGCCATTGAAACAGTAAAAGTAGAAAAAACAGATAACCTCATTTGCAAGATGTCGAAGATCTTCAGAATCTTTGTCAGAAAACCACCCATTCTGACAAGCACTCTACAAATAATAAAAAGGGCAATGAAGTCACAAATAGCTACACACAGCTTTTAGAAGAATATATACTCCCTCCAACTCAATTTAAGGTTCTTTTTCCGTTTTACAGTCGTCGACCGATGATAAAGTTAACTCTTTTATCATTATATTTACATTAGTATTAATTATTAATAATTACTCCCTCCGTCCCACTAAGATTGTCCCAGACACTATTCACTTGGTCAACACAAATCACTTTTAATCTCTTATTTTATATATCAAATTTTTATCGAATTTGATTCTGGTTTTTGCGACTTTGTAAAGCTTTTAATGTAGTTTCTGAATATGTAATTTTTTCTTTCTAAAAATAATTTGAGTGCGGACAGAGATCTGTTTGCTTTATCGTCGGTCAAGCATCGTAAACCGAATTGTCCCAAACTTAGTGGGACGGAGGTAGTAAATTTAGAAGCTACACCCCCCTACACTACAACTTCTATTGAACTGCAAAACTAAACTCAAATGTGATATAAAAAATATAGATATATAATTGGAACTTTTTCAACCCAAGGACCAAAATTTAAGTGAACGAACAATCAAAGACTTGAAAGATGAAATCATGAACTGTATCAATTTAAGGCTTGAACTATCGAAGTATCGAACAAAGCCTTGCATCATAGATTTTGAACTCTTCATAGACTTATCTCTGAATTTTTATTCATTTTTATGCTAATTTTTTATGAACTCTTCACAAAAACTTTAAAATAAAAAGCAAATTAAATAAGACTAAAATTTAAGAAAATATAAAATCAAAATTTATGATATTTTAAGTCTTAGGTTGATAGTTTTGAATCATTTGGGCCTAAATTGACAATGTTCATCTTCCAAATTTTTTTTTGCGATGATCTTCCAAATATTTAATTGATAGCTACTCCATCTTCCAGGTTCTTCATTGATAGCTATAACCTATCTTTCAGATCCTGAATGGAGAATTTAATTTAATTCAAGTTTAAAATAGATAAGTTGATTACCGCAGAAATAGTGTATGGGAACTTTAAGTGGGCCTTGTCACTTGAACGAAAACTAGGTGACAACTGACAAGTAGCATTGTTGGATATGGTTCATAGTGACGTAGGTTATCAACTTTTATGAGCACATTTACACAATCCAGTTAGACCAACGAGCAAGAAAGCACATGTAAGCATCTAGACTACAACCAATTGGTTGGATACTCAATTAACAGAACTACATCATCAGTTTCCTAAAGCTGCTACAAGATGTTAAGGCTAGCCTAATCCAAACTTTTTGGGGCATAAAGTTGATAAAATAGAGTACCAAGAAAGAAGTGATCACTTGCACTTGGACCATTATAGATATAACATGAAATGAAAATTGATTTTTAAATCCTCATCAAGAAGTTCGCCAGTATCCATAAATTACCTTAACAGATATCATAAGAACCATGACTGCAGCCTGCATGAAAGGATCACTTTTCCGCCTACATACCTACAACCATACGTCCATACAATAATTTGAGGGATAGAGAGATTTCAGTGACAAAGAAGCTCTAGGAGCATAAAAGTAGTCCTTCACTAGATATAATGTACATGGACTGTATGATGATGAAAGGCACTGTCTCTGTACAGGAAAACTAACTTTGAGCTCTTGATGAGAACTCAAGAGCGTGTTCATTTATTCAGCAGAGGGTAAGCTTTGGACGGTCAAGTTTCTACAAGAAGAGGTAGTGGAAAATTAAAATGCTCTTTATAGACGAGAAAGCATTTGTAAAGAACTGAAGAAGAGAGAATTTCACTTGAGGCTTTTTTCCATATTCTTCACCTTGATTGTGTAGAATGGAAAACTTCCAAATGAGATCGTGAGATTTTCACATATATTTGCAAGATGATACAGTAACTAAAGTTTGCAAACTGATGATAGGTTTGACTTGAACTTTAAATTCTCAAATAATAAAGAACCTGTTTGAACAATGAAGGCAACTCTGTAGCTTTGGTGGGAACATCATTACTTGCGATGGCACGATCAATGCCTCTGCAATAATTAGACTACGTGGTCAATGGTCATCAAAACTTGTATAACAATATCATCAAAAAAACACAAAGTTACAAAACCAGGTTGTAAACGAATTGACTAATAAAAATGAATCACCTGCATGCGATTGCAAATAGAAAGGTTCAAAACTTTAATTGGAAATAGTTGATGTTATGCTTCAACTTTCATTACTTAGCCTTTTAATGTAACATTGAAATGAATTACATAGGAACCTGAGTGAAGTGAGACTATGGGTTGATACTTGATAGGGATAATGAGATAAACACAATCTTCATAGATATCCAGATAATACCTAATTTAACAAGCATAGCTCACTGACAACTGAGAGGCAGTGCAGCCAAAATAGGTGTGCTAGTTCAAGAAAATGAGTTGCATAGGACCTGTTCTCTTTGTAACGTGATCTATATAAAGTTCTTGACATATTGTCTGGTTTGATTTGGTCTGAATAATAATTGTCATGGCATATGGCGACAGTCATGGAACCAAGGCATTTTCCGGAAGTGATGGCGCATTTATGGCGTCGCCATATGACACATAAAATTATTACAAAAATATGAACTATGTAGACAATATAAATCTATAATTTGACCAAAAAATAGCTGAATATCCAAAAACAATCAAGTCTTCGGGATTATGGTAACTTGTTAATTTGTCACGCTATAACCAGCAAGCGGTTAAGAGTTTTATGCTTAAACCAAGTTAATACTTTTGAGCTCAATTACCAAGTACATAAATACATATATTCCCCATAATCAGTTCATGTGTAGGCGTGTTTTGCATTTGCACATTCAGTTTAATGAAAATTTCCATTAAGGCTGTATTTCATAGGAATAATATACTCAAGCCACGTCAATATTCCTCAGATGGAAAAAGAAAAGAAAAACGCATAGATTATACAATCTTCTCCAAATTTTCCCTTCCCTTTGTTCAGATGCTTTTTGGATTCATACCCCCACAAACACCCATGTACTGCAGGACCCTCTTAAGATAAATATCATACAAGGTGTTAGAAGGAAATTAAAAAAGATTTTGCGATCCATCTATGAATTTAAGATTCAAACATTAAGAAAAGGGAAACAATGCCACTCTAGACTTCCACCAGTTAATTGTCGATTGCATCAAAAAATAGTTTTATAAACTTCGGCTAATGTTCATAGCAGAAAGGGAAAAGAATTTTTTCTAAGCAGGGACTAATAACAGCAATCCAAAATGCATTACCATAAAAAAAAAATCGTAGCCTGGAAAACAGTTAGTATTTCGAGCACGAGCGCTCTGTTTTTCAGTTACAGCGTCGGCAAAGAGAAAGATTAGGCAAACGAATCGCGAATGAACCTGGCTAGAGAAAGGCAGAGCTGGCAGAACTCTACGACATCGTTTATTTCTGGGGGTGACACATGCATAGCTAATCGGCCTGCGGCAGCAGAGATGCGGAACGAGTTCAAATACGAAGCATTCGAAGAACTCCCTCCACCGCTGCCGTTTTCTCCGGCAGGCGCGCCGGGAGTAGATACCGCTGTATCCGCCATCTCTAAGCGGGTGTTCAGTTGCCTGCTCAACCGGAGTCAAATGTCACTATTTGCCTATAATGTTTTAGAAAAAATAGGAATGAGCCCTTGTAGTAGAGGTATCACAATATTATTTTTTGAAAAAATATACCCCTCAAGTTTAAACGAAAGTACATATTATATCTCTGAACTTTTAGAAAATGCAAAAATATCCCTCAGATTTCTATAAAAGTTTCTTTCGAAAAAGTGTTGGTGTTAAAAATTACTTTTTTAATATTGTTTGCACTATAAAATTACATATTTTTGTATGATGATAAATGGTCCAAGATTACTAAATAGTGAATTTAATTTTATTAAGGTTAAACAAAATCAAAGAATATTATTTCACAAAATGCAACAATGTGTTCAAAATTTCGCATCAAGACTAAAGTTAATACTTATGAATTTGAAGTGCTTCATTTACAACGAAAAAATAATAATTTTATAATTAAAAATTAAAAACTTAATATTCTAACATTAAAAAAAATCTTTAATTTTTTACAATTTCGAATTTAACATAAAAATAATTTTGTGTTAAAATTTATTTTGTGTTAATATTTTGTGTTAATTTTATAATATTTTTCGAATTTTTTATTTTTTTTAAAATAAAAAAAAAAATATTTTGTGTTAATTTTGAACATTGTCAATTTAGTCATCTTTATTTGATGACGTGGAGCTCATATTGGCCCATCGGCCTCATATTCTGGTCATCTTTATTTGATGAACCAGACATCATATTATGGACGGTCGCTCGACCCATCCCTTAGTCATCTTTATTTGATGACTCGGACTACTGATCATGACGAGCTACCCACATCTATGGATCGGCCTCGGTCATCCCCTCGGCAGACGGACACCGCTGCAGCTCCATCTCTAGGCCGAAGGGCTCACACCTTTTGTTTCGTTTTGGGGGCATCCGGTGTACTCTTTTTCCCTCATTAGGATTTTTTCCCACAGGTTTTTTCCTAATGAGGTTTTTAACGAGGCATCTCCCCATTGTGGATCAAAAGGTGTCAACCCTCGGCCCCCCGTTGCAGACATCATCAGACATGCATTACTCTACTCCTCTTCACCTCATTACACTCGCCTCAAGGAGTGGGGGACTGGGAGAGCGGGGGACTTACCGCCTCCGTTACCAAAGAAGCAAAAATTCAAAATTTTTGCAAGGATTGCCACACACACCGACGACATCATCATATCACATACATATTCAGCTGCCACATCGGTCAGTACATATACATAGCTCCCCGGCCTCAAGATCGGTGGTCTCTGGTCTGCAACCTTCGGCTAAGGATTCTCCCACAGGGTTGCCTCAGTCAGGGCTCGCCAATAGGACCGGATCATCGGCTTGGGAATCCGGGCGAGGTGCTTCGGCGACGACAGCAGTTTACTCACCGGACGATGACAGATCAGCACATAGTTCTACTCTCTTTCGCCTCGAGTACTCTCGACTCAGAGAGTGGGGGACTCCTGATAGAGTATATAGACTCGGACCCCCGGGTCTCACGACTATTGGGCTCGGACAGCGGCCCACATACGCTCAGTAGATAGCATTTATCTCATTGTACACTCTATTTTATTCATGTATATCCATTAGAATAGATTAGATACCATTTATTAGCCATTTATTGGCCTTTTATTGTAACTGGGCCAGCCAGGCCCAAGCCTGGAAGCCCAGCCCTCTTTTCTCCTATAAATACTCCCTATGGGAGCCATGTAAAGGATTGGATGGTTGATTGGAATTCATTATACATATCACTTTATCTCTCTAGCTCTCCCTTCTCTCTAAGATTAAATAATCTATCAATTGTATTTCTATTTTTTTGTACTCATACATTAATTACATACAGAGTAACAGAGAGGGGTGTAACAAGTAAGAAAGATAAATAAATATATTCCTTATTATAGCAATATAGCATCACAAAATATCAAAAATTGTATAAGTAGTAGTATGTATAATGTATGCATACACTCATTTTTTTTGGGAAGAATGCATATACTCATTTTAGAAATACCGTTTTGAATATTCATTTAAAATTTTGCATATTCATTCGTCTAATATAGTACTACGTGTTTATTTTCCTCCAAATTATGAACTACCATATTACACACATAACAATGTGTAATGAAAAAAATGAAAAAATTTACACATTCTATGCAAAAATGAAAAATTTCATACCTATATATATATATATATATATATATATATATATATATATATATATATATATATATATATATATATCATATACTTCGTATTAATCAAACATGTGTAATAACTTATTCTTTCTGCATTGGGCACAATTCGCACGTAGTGCGTACGCCGCTAGTCAAATAAATAAAGAGTTTCACTTTTCTAAATATAGTTTGGTCTTCATGTCTCAAAAACAGTTGGATAGAGTTGTGCTTGTTGCCTTCTTTATAATTTTGTCAATTTTATATTTTGTTGTCTATTAACTTTGTCACTCTCAATGTAAAAAAACCACAATTCTTGTTAATTACTACACATTTTTAACCACACAATTTTAACTACACAGTTTTACTTTTTTACTTGCCTTATTTGGTAAACAAATATATATCAAACAATGTCAAGCAGTGCAAAATAGTGTCAAAACAATGTTAAACAATGTCAAAACAGTAGACTCTGCAATAAAATTTACTAGTTAGTACGGAGTATATTATACACCTAGGTGTACAGGTGGGACCCGTACATCCAAGTTTATTTGTAATTTTATTTAAGCTTCAACCCAATTTCATTTATCTGTAACGGCGACCGGGTGGCAGTAAAAATTGGAGCTTTGTTGGTCTTCTCCGGAAGCTTAACAGAAACATCTGAATTGTTCAAGCTGTTTGACCGGGAGAAGACCGAAGGTGAAGAAGGAGGGGTACACGATTTAGAGAGGTTGCTGGGGTTGAAACGTAACCCTTGAATCGTTGCGCTGACTTTCTCCATTTCTCTGTAATTTGCAAAGATTGAGGCTTTTCTTCAATCAAAATGAAATTTGCAGGTAAGTTAGGTAGACTGGAGGAGCTTAACTGGAGGGGGTTTGGCGGGGAAGTGTGTGCTTGCTCTTTAAACCAGTCGCCAAGTATAATGATGATGACTTTTGTCAACATTTCAACAACCCCGTCCATTTCACTTCTTTTAGGTTGTAGAGTTGAAATTAAATTTCACCAACCAACGAGAGTTGTACTTTTAGTGAGCATCTGACCTATTTTATTGAGTATTAAGAGGGTAACCGTGGATATCACAATCTTTTTTCATATCTTCTCATTCTTTTCCTTTTTCTTATTTTTTCTTTTTATAAAAACTTATTAAATTATATCTATAATGCATTCCTACTAATTTCAATATGCGAGTCTAATGCAATATGATACTTTTGAAATATGCAATGATATGACATTTTTAAAAATGAGCATAACATCAGTACCAAATGAGCATACAGAACTTACAAAGTGCACATTGATATGAAAATAGTAAGGTTTTTAGTTGAACATCACGAAAACAATTGAGCATCAAATATCCGCTACTGAGATAAAAATCATGGTTTCTAGTGAATGAGCATTAATGAACTTTTAATGAGCATCAAACCTATTATGTTGAGTATTAGGAGTCTAATATTCAGAATCATGATCTATGCTTCATAACTTCCAATTTACTTTCTTTTTGTTGTTTTTTATTTTATAAAAAGTTATTACATTATATTTATAATCAACTCCTATGAGTTTCAAATATGTGAATCTAATGTAGAATAGTACTTTTTTGATATGACATTTACAAAACGAGCATAAGATCGGTACCAGATGAGCATATATAAATTACAAAATGCGCATTGATATGAAAATCGTAAGGTTTATTAGTTGAACATCATGACATTTTCATTGAACATCAATCCTCCTCTTTTGAGATCGATGTAAATCATGATTTCGATTGAATGAGCATTAATGAATTTTTAATGAACATTAGACCTATACAAATGAGCATATGTAACTTGCAAGATGAGCATTGATATTAAAATTGTATGTTTTGTTCGTTGAGCATCAAGACAATTTCAATGAGTATCAAACTTGCGTTATTAAGTATTACTCATTTAGATATAACATAAAACTCTTTTTTACTCATCTTATAATGTTATACCAATGCTCATTTTTTAGAAAGTGATGGTCATATAGGTATAACATAAAAATCATTTCTATAACTCACACATGTAACATAGTCATTACAAATAACTTAGAATAAATGTTTCTTAACACATGTAACATAGTCATTACTTCGGATTTTTTACGAACAATTGGTTGACATTACTATTTAGTAGATAATTTTAATGAAACTATTAGATCGTTACTAGTTAAGTAGAGTGATCAAGATAATTCAATCAAATTATCATTGTCTTAAATGTTTTCAGAATTCAAATTTAGTCAATTTTGAGAATAATTTTATAATTAATCAAATAAATGAAAAAATGAAAGGAAAAATGGAAGATTGTCAAACTGCACTAATATGAGTGCAGCCATATTTCCCAGCGACCCCCCTGCGATCAACTGAATCCTAAAAGGCTTTTGGATTCCCCAATTTCTCAAAGGATTGCACCAATTGCTCCTATCTAAACCTAGTACCCGTTCATGTGTGCAGGCACTCAGGGAGCATAGAGAGAAGACGGTGCAGGGGTTAAAAGGTTCTATAATAATCAACCTCAAATTTACAAAGAATTACTCCATCCGTCCTGGAAATAAGTTCCACTTTTCCTTTTTGGCCAGTATCAAAATTAAATTCCACTTTCAAACATTTCCTTATTTGACAAATTATATACATCAAAACGATGGAAAACATTTTGTTTTTTTTTTTGTTTTTTTGGCTTTCTCACTGGTCACGGCTAGAAGTCGTAGTTTGTAGTTGGGACCTTGAGTTGACTCTCCAATCAGCAGCACTTCAGACGGAGGGTCGGTGGCTTGTGAAAACGTGGAAAGCAATTATTGGTCGTCGCAAGAGCGTCAGATGAACCGCAAAGCACCGGAACCTCGCCGAGCATTTTAAAATGGATAATGCCACGTGGTCAAGATTCTCTATGTGGCGAAGCCGGAGGCACCGCTTGACCGCACCGGAATATGCCTCCCCGGCGAGTGACCTGGATCGACTCTCGTCACTTTCCCGAAAAGTATAAATATCTCTCATTCACACTCCCCATCCTCGTGCCCTAGCCGTCCGTTACTCCTTTTTCCAGCCGCAACCTGCTGAAAATATCCTCAATTTCTGCTCCAGACACGCTATTTTCCTTACATTTTCACGCAATCCAGCTGAAATTTGGTGTTTTTCTTCACTAATTGTTCATTTATACTCGGAATACGAAGGGGGTTTCTTGCTAAGATTAGTTGGTGGTGAGGGCTTCGAGCTGTCGGTGCGGCAATGGGAGCGGCAGAAGTGGCCTTTTCCGGTTGGAAAGGTTTGATTTCTTTGCTGTTTTGAGCTTATGGGGTCAGACAATTTCGGCGGCTGTGCAGGCGGTGTTCGGACTAAGGCCTTGCCCGAGGAAGCTGAGGTTCGAAAATTGGAAGGCGCTTCTGCTGGAATCAAACGTCCCTTTGACAAATGGAACTCTGCAGCCAGCCGAAAAGGTGGTCCTCACGCTTAATTTGTCTGTTTCCATCTTCGATACTGTATTCTATCAGTTTGGTTCTGTTGTGTTAAAACTGTAAAAGGTTGACCCCTCTTCTCTCACTTGTTGAAATGTGAAATAGTTTCCCATATTCGGCTATTTCACCTGAAAGCATTTTCGGAACGTTTTTGTTTGTGGGTGAAATGATTGTAAACGTGTGAATTATTTTACCGAGCTAACAGATATAGATTGAAGCCCATAACATGGAGTTAAGATGCCAAGATGCTGAATTCCACCAAATGTTATGTGTTATTTCTTAACTTTCTTTGGTTAGGGGAAACTGATTTTGAGGCATATTCCAGTGTATTTCAGTGTAGTCATTTAAAAAAAATGGCTTACCAAATATGACATCAAATTCGAATAGCTCATAGCTTACTGTCTGGTAATATCTTCATATCTTAATAGACAGTTTATTTTATGGCATCAAATCTCTATTCTGTTTGTTGCATAGTTTGAAGCTTATATTGTACATGGACGCACATGATAATGGCAGGTGAAATTTGTGCTGTTTATTCTTCTGTAGCTTCTTGGAACAATGTTACAGAAGATGAAGTTTGTAGGGATGTTGATGAGCAATCAGTTATCTGGAGCAAGGAAACATCTGAAGGCCTCAATTCTAGTACTAATGTTGCAAAGACAGCGAAACTAAATGCTAGGTCACAGCTTAAACCTCGGAAAGCTGGAAGGAATGCTTCTGGTAGTTCTAAGGGGTTGAAGATGTTAGAGGTGGATGGCTCTGTCAGTAAAACCGGTGAAGATGATGCAAGAGCTATAGAGACTTTATCAAATCACGCAAGCTGCAATAATGAAGGTCATTCATTTAATAAGACTGTGTTTTACATATTCTTCAGAATGCCATTTATATAATTTCCAGGTCAGGAATATGACATCCTCATTGCCTAAACATGCATAACACTCTTGATAATACTATCACACGACTTCATAGGTCTCCATTATATAAACATACATTATGGTTAGCAATAAAACAGAACCATATTTGAGTTACTGTTCAATGATTGTGCTGAAGGAAAATATTTGAATCTGTACAATGCTCTTCCAACTTTGGTGTTGCATAATTGTTATGCGTTTGGCAGTTTGTTGTAGTTCTTTGTTGGAAATCTTTAATTACTATTTTGATATATACTTCCTCTTTCCAAAAACAACTTCCCACTTTTCTTATCTGTATCTCCCAAAATAAACAACCCATTTCCATAAAAAGAAAATTCTCAATAGTAAATGTCACAACAACCTTACTCTTTGCTTACTTTTTACTTGATTTGATATAAAGTAGGGGTATTTTTAGAAACAAAGCAAAAAATGATCTTGCATAAATATGTGCAGCCGTGCAGGTCAAGCTGGGGAGTTGTTTTTAGGATGGAGGGAGTAGTTATAGTCTATTACCATGGAGGCATGGAATGCTATAAATATAAGAAGTTTCATTGTTTAGCATATTGTTAATTGTACTCGCTAGGCATTTTATTAGTCTCTACCTTTTAGTGAAGTTCTTATTGAAGGCCTCAAGGCTGTTCAGCCATGTTTGGATCTGGTTAGATGTTCCACATTGGTCACCCTCTTTCTTTGTCTAAATTTCCTTGGCATAGTAGGGAATCCTCACAGTTATGTCTGGAGGAAGGGGTTCTATTCAAAATTCGATTGACTAAGCACTTTTCCAGTTTCCTTGGATTTTAATGAAAACGGGACTGCAAAAAACTGCATCTTTCGATGGATGGATAATTAGTCAAACAATGGAAAATTATTTTGTCTTCATTTCTTTTAACTTCTTCTGTCTTGAAGGGGTGATTGCTTATCAGCTGCATGATGGGTTTAGGGTCGACTCATACTGTCATATGTAGGCATTTGTATACCGTAAGTGTTGAGTCCTGTCTTACACAGATATACTTTATTTTCGTGTAAAGAATGATGAACATATCACAGTAAAGATGTCCTTTGGCTATTAAACAATTAAACAAACATCAAAGGCAAGTGCACTTAAATAAGCATTGCATACCTAGATTCTAGACTAGAAATACTTGAATCTGCGATCTGCTTCTGGATACACATAATGTGCATGATGCGTGTTATTTGCGTCTAATAAACTCAGAACATTACTTTATTCTTCAATGCCCCTTATTGCTATAATTTATAGTTCCCTCTTTTTATACTTGATGGAATTATTACTTTTGTTATTATGTCTAGTTTTAGACTTCTATATTGCCACTTAGAAGTTTTCTTGTGTCATACAATAGCCATTACATTAGCGAGTATATCAAATTTATACTGATGCTTATTTTTTTCCATTCTGATATCTTATAGAGAAAGTTCAAATGCCTAAGTTAAGGAACAACTCAACTGGCAAGAGAGGGGACAAGAGACTTGGAAAAACTTCAAGGGGCAATTTATCTCTAAAGAATGGCATGATTAGCTTCTCTTCAGCTGCAGGCGGACACAACTTTCTTGGTATGGCAACATTTGACAAATTATAATAGCTTATCTCTTTCACTTGCCCACGCTGAATGAACATATACTTGATTTATATGTGTTTCGTCATGATTTAAGAATCTAGTTGGGCATGTAGTTGAGTTTGATGTATCTCTTGCTATGCACCTTCTCCGATTAGTGCTGGTTCTGGTGCATTACAAACTAGTACTCGTTCCATCCCTAAATTTGCACCCCATTTTCTTTTGACATGCTATTCAAGAAAACAAAGTTATGTTATTGAGATTTATTCAGAAAGAAAAGCATAATTCTGTCAAAAGGAAATGTGATGATAGCTTGAAAACAGGTGAAAAAGAAAGTGGGCAGTTCTTTGAGGGATGAAGTGAGTAATGAGTATATGACATGAAGTATGAGCCTAAGATGTTTGGCTTCAGCCTTTACCTTGCTTATGAATTATGACTTTCCACTCTGTAAAAAATTGTGGGATTCACTTACCTGGTGATAGTTTTCTTTCCTATTATTTCTTTGTTCCCAGGGAACGGCTTTCTGAAATGAAAACTTTGTTGTGTGTTTGGCAATCAATAATTCAATGTCTATAAGGAATTTAGAATCCTGAATCCCAAATATACATTAAATAACTGTGGGTCATCATTGTAACCTCATTCAGAAGAGGTGTTCTTGACCTTCTGTTTGTGGTTATAAATTCAAGAACAATATAATGGTCAAGGTAAAACTTGAGGAATGTAGTTGTCAATAAACATACACTTCAAATGATATAATGTGTATATTGTCTGAACAACACATACAAATGTAACTAGTGGATGAAGGGATAGGAAAACCACTTTGAACATTTCACTTTAGATGGCTAAATCAGGTTTTATCATGAGAAGGTCCACTTAATGAACGTATATGATCTTTGAATATAAGCCGCTACTAAAGTAATGTACTTTCTTGTCCGCGCAAGTAGAAAAATATACTACGTACGTACTATTAATTAGGATTTCACAATGGAGGATAAGTTATTTTGGTCTAAAACTTAGGTCTATATTTTGCATGCCACGCGGCACAATTGCAGATATTTTGTTGTTTACAGATTGGGTCTGTATCTGTATCTTTTTGTGCTGTGGTTATTTGCAGCTGGCTTCTTTTTATAGAGCATTCCATTTTTGAACAGAGAAACCTCATTGAGTGTGTTCAACTTGACAACTTATACTAGAAATTTGCATTACTGGTGATTATGCACTAGAGTTTCTCTAGTCATTTCTATAGATTTTTAGTGAAAATTAAAGTAAATTGGCATCCTCACAAGTTTTGGGAGTTTTTTGAAGGATTTTTAGTATAAGACATACCATGGAAAGTCCATTTTCCTTAGCTTTATGATGCATTTAGAGTATACATGATGTAAGTGATTGATATCAGCTTATATTAAACTAGGCTCAAACTGTCTTGACTCTTGATAATAGCGAGAAGAACAGATTTTGACATTCTTTGTTGTCCAGTTGTGCAAAGTGCATAATTTTTTGGTTCTAATATGAGATATAATAAATGGAAATCAGGAAGTTATGGTTTGAAATCCGACACTTTGGACGTGGCTGAAAAAATGGAGGATATGTCTTTGGAGGAGCTTCTTGATGGCAGTTATATGAGTCCTCTTTTCACCAAATACAAGGAAAAGAAGGCTACAAGCTCAAATGAAAGTCTTCTTCATGCAATTAGAAATGCTTGCTCTCTACTTCAGAAACCTGAACGGGTCAAGAGTTGCTCAGATGATGATAAGATAGCCGAGCCCATGCATATTGCCTCTTTTTCAGCAACTGAAGCTGATGGTATTAAAGCAGATGCCTGCACTTCGGCTGTATCTTCATATGATAAGGTTAGTTTCGCTACCAATGCAGAGGCCTGTCTATCTTTAGTTTGATATGATAGATACAGTAAGGGTTTTAGGCCTATCTTTTAAATTCTTGATTTGATGTCTTGCAACCTCTACGTAGGCACGCTATATAGTATATACAGTATCTTGTGCTCTGTATCGTTTAGAATATCCACTGCTACTATAATTAGTGATGTAATAAGATTCAGATTATAAATTATCACTTTGAATTACAGTGGTACTCTAAGGTTCTTTGGATTACATCTTTGATGCGAAAGTTCTGGAGGAATTCTTTGGAGGATGTTCTTTGAGACCCAAGCCTACATCTCCATACTGACCCTGAGAGTTCTATGAAATGTTAGTTTGGCTGCTTTAACAGTTACGTTAATACGCCATTACCCTCATAAGTAATTTGCTTAAGTAGTTAATTGTAAGGGCATTTGGGTCATGAAATGTAGGATTACCTTAGATACTAAGACTACCTCATGGAAGGTATTATGAGATTTAATGAAATATTAACCGAATGTAGTAGTACATTAGTGCTCCCAAGCCAATTCAACAATACCACCTAATTTAAGGGAAAAAGTGGAATCTTAAGAAGTATCTAACAATCTTAAGAAACCCAAGTTTATAAGGTTACCCCCAACATTACCTCATTTTCTTACGCGGCAGTGCCATGAAAAAATGAACCAAACAAGGTTATTTCACACTACCTCTTTTATATTACTAGGGTAATATCGGATTACCCAAACGAAACATCTTTTAAGGGTAGTGCTGTATCACTCATGCAAGTGCTTGTATGAGAAGTTGTTCCCATAGTTAAAGTTAGGAATCATTTGTTATTGTATTTAAAATGCTCTATTACAGGAAGCGTGTGGTAAGCTTAAAACAGCTGAAGCTTGTGTCAATCTTCCACCATGCAAACACGTGGATATTTTGAAGCACATTTCACTTCCCCCAACAAAGGATTTGGATGCTTTGCTTCTTGATGCAACCAAACACACATCTTCCAGAAACAACCCTGATCCTCGTCTAGGCAAGCCAACATCATCTCAGCGAATTGGCTTGCCTCCTTTTCCTTGGTCACATGGGTACTCTGGAAACCACAAATCTGGGCCTGATGCATCGAAACCATCAACAAGTAGGACTGCTTGCCAAGGCAAGTGGGTTAGGGTGAATGACATATTTACTCCTCAAGATGGATGTCCTAGTTTTGCAGTAGATTTGCAATCTCTCACTTATGATCACAGTCTAGTTCCATCAGGAAGTAAACCATCTGTGATTCCAGAAAGAGGAAATCAGATCCAACATCCTTGCGACACTCAAAATGGTGAACCCTTAGAAAGTCAAACTCAGAGTCATGTTCCTTCAGGAGGTCAAACATCTGACCTATCAGAAAAAGGAAATACCCCAGCAGTCCAAGCTGAATTTGCTTCCTTTGACAGAGTTCTTTCATCATTTGCTACTTGTTCTATTTCCCAAGTTTCTTCAGGTACATTTCTAGAAGGGTAAACTTTGTGAATTTCATCATTCATACAAAATCTTTAACTTCTTGAGAGACTGCTTGTTATCGTTTTTGTTTGTTTGAAAAATAAAAACAAGATTATGAAAAAATAAGAATGTGATCTTCAAGTTTTTGTTGTCACTCTTTGAAATTAACATGATTAGTTTGACTACTTTTTGGTTTATAATAATACAACCTATATCATATGCTCTCTCAGCCCCTAAAAGAAGTTCCAAGTTTGACTTGCGTCAATGTTAATGAATCAAATGTTTTGCTTTTGGCTATCAGTTGTTCACTTGTAATGCATTATTGAGAGTAATTAATAGCGATAGACATGGATAGTAAATGAGTGTAGTAAAGTAACAATTACTTCCATCATATGATGAGAGTAACTTTTAAAATGGTAGAATCTAAAACTGATAGCTGGATGGGATAGAAAATGGGCCTTGATAGCTTTTTAGCAACATCTATCCATGGCATTATTAACTACTTTGATCTTAACAGAGGAACCATCCCCAAGATGTTTGACTGCTGCACGGACACTGTGTGAAATTGCAACCCGATCAGTGAAGCGCAGAACGAATGGAACCGTAAAGTGTCTTAAGAAACCTACTCAGAAGTCCACAAGAGCTCCTCCAAAGCTGAAGTTGAGTGAGAAACCAGAAAAACCATTTGCAGCACCAAATAGTATGGACATGATGAGAGCTTGTGAGGGGATGCTTCCACCCAAAAGACCTAAACTAATGTTGGATGGGGAGAGAAACGGAAAAGCCACTGCAAGAAACTTTGACAGAAAGCATTGGTCGGCTCCACGATCAGTTAGACCGTCTTCGAGCAAATATTGTAAAAACGCAACAAGTTCAGAAACAAAAGGTCACAGCAACAGCAGCTTTGTAGATAAATTATATATGATGAAGGGTTGTAGTAGTCAGCAAAAAGCATTCAAGTAACAAGATGAAGACCGAAGCTCATCAACACACAAGGGCTGTATATGAAGATTCATTCAGTTTTAACTTTTAGATCTCACCAAAAGTGGTAGGTGTTTTGTAAATTCTGTCTGTATGAAGAAAGAAGGGAGCTGGTGGCCGTGATCTTGATTTCAGGAGAAACAGGCAAGCCTGCCCTGTTGTATCATTATTATTTGTTTGATGTTATCTAATCAGAAGTGTAATATCCAATCAAATATTCTTCCATCTCCTCCATCTTTCGTGTAAAGTGGTTCCAATTTATTATCTCCGCTCGGAAAATATCATGTTTGATCAGAGTACGTATGTACGATAGTCGATAGAGGATTTGAGTTAAAGGTCTTACAAATTTGGTGGGATGGTAAGAAGAGGATAATAGAAACACGTCGCAAGTAGGATTTTCTGTTATGGGAGTGCTTTCATGGCAGTTTATTAGAAAAACCATATTGTGATAATCTCCACGGGAAGAATGCCTAGATGTTATACAACAAAACAAGAGACTAGATATCAGAACAAAGTTCATGCAGAAAAAAATTATTTGTGGGATAATATCCCTTTGGAGTGGTCACAATCAGAATATGCGAGGTTTTAGCAATTTAGCGTAGTTGGTTAAAAATTAGAGTAATTTATTCGTAATTAGTTACACGCATAACAGACCCAAAGCTTGATGAGTCAGTCTTGGTCTAACATCTGTTTGTTCATGAGATAGCATATGATGGAGTGATCGGTGAACTGGGTATGAAAAGAATTGATCAAAAGCATAAATGACGACAAGAAACTCTTTTACTACCTTTCATAGTTGAGCTCCGAACCATGGAGCAATGGTGGCACGGAGATCCTTCACTTCTATTTTCTAAAAAAGTACTTCAATAGCAAATTATCACGGAGCTTCACGGAGATTCTTCACTTCTATTAGCACCACTCATCAATTAAATAAGGGACTAACCAGAGCTGTGACGAGAGCTCCCTTGAAAGTTTTGAAAGATTGAAGACAAATTATTTCCATTATAAATCGACAGATAATGTCATAATAAAAAAGTTTGAATACATCTTATTTGATATGTTCTTCACATTGGGATTAAGATTTCTTTGATGTACCACAATAGATTGGTGGTGGTCTTAATTGCATTAGAACTTGGTGCATTCCTTTGGTATCTGCTAAAGCCTATGAAGTGGGTGTGATTTGAGTTCTCAAAATTTGCAACTACTTTTCTTTTGTTAGGTAGAGTGTAGCAAAAATTATCACCATATGTGCAAATTTTTCTTCACAAAATGTATCAAAAAAATTACGAAACTCTATATGACTCCACTATGGAGGCATATAGCCCATGTGATCTCATAGCAAGTTAGCAACCATTCATTTTTATAGTGAATTTATAGAGGAGGCTCCCATTTCATAATTGAATGAGTGTGATGATGCCACATGTGTTATATGACTCCATAGTGGAGTCATATATAGGATTCCATAAAATTTTACCGAAATGTATACTTGAGATTTACCGATGGAGCTTTGCAAAATTTTGATTATCACATTTCAAATTGATGGGTTTGGTGTTACAAAAATTATGTTATGAAAGATGACACTCTATCCAAATCAAATTAGCTCAAACGATCCAAAAGTCATGGCACGACATTCGGCTTAACACTTGATCGTGACTCAACTTCTTGTTTCTTACCATTCCAAGATGTATAAAATTTCTACTAAAGAAAAAACAAATAGCTATTGCGATGTATAATCCCAATGGAAAGTTGGAAACCTGTGTAGTTTGCACCAATATATCTCTAAAATATATGTGTCTGTGTCTTTGAAATAATTTGATGACAATGTGAAGAGTATATGTATTTCTTGAGCTGATTGTAGAAGCGACTTTGTGAAATATATAAATCATATGAAACTTGACCTTGACGCCTATAAGTATAAGATAAGTTCACTCCTAAGAAGTTTCCTAGAATTACTAGGGGAATTGGGGTTTTAATCATATTGGAATTTAGAAATGTCATTTCAAACGCACTAAGGACAATCATATATAGAAAAGTAGGTTGAGATTCAAGAAAGTTTGAGATGTGAATTTTCAGTATATGAAAAATAGATTATATTTTAAAAAAGATTAGCACATTAATATTTTATGTAAAGTCTTTTGTAAAGCCGAATTTCTCAAGAGGAGAAAAAAGACAAGTATCATACAAAGTGATTGATCGTGATCTAGGACATTAACATTGGAATCCTTTTGAAGATGGATAAGGAAGTTGCACAAACACTTCTGAAGATAATGTATGCAAAGTCCCATGAAGCTGCAAAGAGTCTTCATCTGTAATACTCCGTACATCTGACTATGTGAGGAAGCTTCTACTCATACGAAAAAATTTTGTTGGGTACCTTAGATTTTTTGCCATACTTTCTCACATATACTCCGTATAATATATGTCCTGTTAAATGTTAATATCCTTGACTGATATGAGTTTCGAACCCGTGACCTCATCCTTGAGAATGACACGGTGATGTCATCGAACCAGATGTTGTTTAACAACATTAAGAGCCCGTTTGGAGAACTCTGTTTTCGGCTTATCAGGCTTATCAGCCAGCTTTTTCACCAAACACGTAACTTTTACTTTCGCGCACTGAATTGTGTAATAAGCCGAAAAAGTAAGGTTGGAGTTACTTTTCTGGCTGTATTGGCTGAAGTTACTGTAGAGGACCATTTTAGCTATTTTTACATATAATTTTTTCTTTAATTTATTAATAAAATATATTTTTAAAATATTTTTTTCTTAAATCAGCAGAATCAGCCAAAACAGCCACTCCAGCCAGAATATCATAAATTTCAGCAGAATCAGCCAAAACAGCCGATTTTGGTGCTACCAAACGGGCTCTAAATTAGCACATTATCCATTTTGTTAGTGGTGTTTGATATGAAGATTAGTGAGATATCTACAAGTATCCATTAGATTAGAAAAATGATCATAAAAATATTCTTAGGCTATTTCACATATGATAGTTTTTATCACCAGACAAATTGACTCTTGACTTCATGAAATAACCTCTAAAATGTGTTTAGGGACTTGTCTTAGAGGGTAGAGCAACAAAGTCCAAATCTCTTCTATCTTCATCCCTCGAGCCCTCCATGGACGCTAATACACCAGTCTTTATCGTTTTAGACTCCAGTGCAAGTCTAACAATGAGGTTTTGTTCATTTTACTCCTTTTAGCTCATTAATGATTTATTTATTTAATTAATTAGGAGTAAGAAAATTGGATTGATCTCATCACTGGAAGCCTGGAAAAGTTGTGGATTATGGGGCAATGCTTTCATTTCAATTCTCAAATCTTTCTGCTCTTCTTAAACCGCACTTCACTACAAAAGATATCAATCATGCAGTGTTCTTTTATTTAGATTTTTAGCATGTCTTCTAAAATTTGAGTTTTTTTCCGTATTAATGTTAATTAATTAATTATTTACGGAAATAATGCTGGAAAAAAAGTATTTACCAAAATACTGCTGGCCTTAACCGTGGTCAGGACAAAGTCGCCCAACCGTTTGGCGACTTATAAGTCGCCAAACCGTTTGGCGACTTATAAGTCGCCCAACGGTTGGACGACTTTGCCCTGAAATATGGTTTCAGGCAAGCAGCTACTGCCAGCCACGCACGATCGTGCCTATTTCCTTAGGCACGATCGTGCCTATTACCTAAAACACCAAATCAGCTTGTTTTTCGCCCTGGTTCAATCCAATCCGATCTGTTTGCTACAAATAAGGTCTCCTTTCTCCTTTTGAAGTGTTACAAACTAGATACAACACATGATAATCACCTACTCTCAACAACATAAAAAACACCTTATAAACACCGCTAAAAAACTTTCAAATCATAACCGGTATAACACAGTTCAATCATCATATATGCCATAACAAATAATCATGTAATATTCATACTCGAACACATCAATACAACATAGAATACTTAACAAGAGAAAATACATCAAAACTTGTAAATTGTTCCTACAACATCTATTGCATAAGAAAAACTACAATACAAAAGACAAACTACAAGTTCCCATCAATCAGCTTCGTCATGGAGATGTTGCTGCTCATGTCTACGCCTACGGCGTTGTCGTGGTTGAAGAACCACTCTCTCATGTTGCGTCTGGGATGATGAAGCCGCGGCTGCACTAGACGTGGATGCCATCTCCTGAGATGCGGGCATGTGTATAAGATGTCCGTAGTCTACTCGACCCAACACATCTGAGCATAACGAGGCAATGCCTGTCAGAGTCTGTCCATACATGTCCACATCAGGAATATCAGTCACAGTGGCAGTAGCCCGCTGATGTATGCGCTGCAAAGCTCGTGTCTGCAATACGAAACACAATTACAATTACATTGAAATACATACAAGTATTACATAAATAAAATGACTTACTTTACTAATTAGTAATATACTCACCGTAAGATGCAATGCCAATGAGCTAGGCTGATAATGATGAGTAGGGAGTCTGAACGAAGGAGACACAAACAACCGAGTGATGCTGTAGTACCATCCCATGTAATCTCCTGAAACTGATGGCACATATGTGGGTGTCCCAGCCACGGCTAGCTCAGCTCTCCTATCCCACATAGTCACGTATCGGACATGTCTGAGTGCCCAATCCTCTGTATGCTTCCCACGCCTATCCAGCTTATGCAGCTCTACATAAGTGTCGATAGGACGTGGAATGACCTGCTCAAACCCAAACTGTCGCATGACTCTATCAGGCAAATGAAGCTCAACAATGTCAAAACATATCAGCGGCACACGTGCTCGCCATATGTGAGTCTGCTCTCGTCCAGCTGGGGGCAACTCTGCTAACATATCAGGTCTATACGGCATCCATGTGATCTGTGTCGTAAACATACAAAATTAGTATTTATTCTACACCTATTGTAGTTATTGTTATACTACACACACCATACCTGGTCCTCTGACATCCGATCCAATGCATCCCTGTACACACCGAGGCCAGTAGCGGATGACATGCGAGATACACCAGCATATAGCCACCTAACCATTAATGTTACAATATCAATAATATGGATTTTATTAATGCATTTACATTCAACAAAAACTAACACAAATACAAATGATTGAAAACATACCGACGGCCTAGAGGGTCCACGCCCCGTACATGATGTGGTCCTAGCAGACGTGGAGGCTCATCAGGCAGTGGCTGTCCATCAATGCCATGATATCCAACTATAATGGGACGGCCAATGTGGATATACTCCCATGACCAAATCTGGAGGAGTAGCAAAAATCCCCCCAGCTCTGTGCTCCCTCTCTGGCACCCGCGACACAGCTGCCTGTAGAGATAAGCCAGGGTGGCACTACCCCAGCTAAACTGTGCTGCTACATCAAACCTCTCCAGCAATGGCAGGTGTAGCACCTGAACCTCATTTCCGCTCTTGTCAGCGAAAATGGAGGCTCCCATCATCATCAATATATACGCCCGAGCATGCTGCTGGATGATCATCTCATCAGCGTCGGGAGGAAGGGCCTGGAAGTGCTCCCTCAACCATGGCATCCTAAGAGATGACCCCTGAAGGTCAGCCCTAAGAACGGGGCGGATGCCTAACAACCTCTCACACTCATCCACCCACTGTCGACAAGCAGTGCCTGTAACAGCTCTCCCATCAACCTCTAACCCGGTCAGTACAGCCACATCTCCCAATGTCACAGTGACCTCACCAACAGGGAGGTGAAATGAATGTGTCTCCTGCCTCCAACGCTCAAGTAGAGCAGTGAGGAGGGCTCTATCTAAAGGCACAGTAGCCACTAACCTATGCAGTGTAAAAAAACCTGCTGCACGAACATATGCTAGGACTCTGGGGTCGACATGTAAATGGGACAAACCCCGCAGATGCTCGCGGCACCTATCAACCTGCACATCCATGCCAAGCCAAACATCCTCACTCCTGTGTGAGGCCTGCAGTGTCAGGACAGAAGGATCACTCGGCCCAGGATCCGCTATCACCTCCATGCCTACAAACAAAATTTGTATTAGTTCTAATTGTATTAGTTGTAATTGTATAATGTATTAAATTTTTTTTAACTTCCTTTTTTGAATTTATTAATTTTCCTTGCAAGGAAATAATGAATTATGATTGACTCTAAATATACACATACCCGGCGGACCCCCCCTCTTGTCTAGATGATCTCTTTGCACATGTCGCTCTATTATGGCCGGTTTGGTGGCATCTTCCACATCTAACCGTTCCTCGTGGGCCTTCATCCATCTCATTCTTAATACGGGTCGACTTTGGTCTTCCCTTTGCCCGAAGCATGGATGGATCGTGCACGATTTCGGGTCCATTGTAATTGGGCCAATAATCACGATCAGGAATCGGTTTGAACACCCTATGATACGTGGCGGCGTATTGGTCAGAAGAGAAGAACTTATCCACAAATGGAGCATAAGACAAACTACGTTGTCTACACACGGCTAATACATGGGAGCAAGGAATCTTGTATATCTCCATCTTTTTGCAAGTGCACGTTTTCCGTTGTAGATGGACAGTTTGTTTTCTCCCACCCTTTCCCAACGTTCTGCCACCACAACCGGTCTCCACCTGAAATATACCTCGCCCTAAATCAAAAGGAGTGACAATGTGATGCTTTGCCTTCTCTCTATTTTTTTCAATTAAATCTGTGATGTATGGGGAGTACTCGTGGCCTTGTGTGAGCCTCAACTTACTAGTTTCACGCCTATTCACAAAGTACGCATTAACCCGGTAAAAAGACACCTGGACCAAGGCGGTAATGGGCAAATATCTAGCATTTTTCATGATGCTATTGAAAACCTCAGCCAGATTTGAAGTGATGGTACTGTATCTGTACCCGCCATCATGGTGCAGCGACCACATTTCTGGAGGAATGTTGGCCAAAAATTGTCGTGCATCCCTACTCATTTCACCTATCTTCTTGAACCCACTATCAAATTTTTTTTTCTGATGTTGCCGTGCGGTCCACACAAATAGATTTTTTAAATGAATGTCTTTGAAATGAGTGTGCACATTTGAAGCAAGATGACGGATGCATAGCCTATGATGCGCATAAGGCTCCTCCCAATTACTTCCAACCTCATTCATTGCCCTAACAATACCTCCATGTCTATCTGAAATGACACACAACTCCCTGTTAGTCACAAAATGCCTAATACATGCCATAAACCATGGCCAACTGTCTCCATTCTCGGATTCAACAACTGCAAAGGCAATTGGGAAAATTTGGTTGTTCGCATCACAACCCATGGCCACGAGCAATGTGCCCTTGTACTTTCCATACATGTGTGTGCCATCAATAGTAAGTACGGGTCGACAATGCTAAAAACCAGATATTGATGCCTTGAATGCCCAAAATACTATTTGAAACATCATATAACCTGTCGCACCATTAGGGGGTGGGTACCACTGAACAACAGTTCCTGTATTAGAATGTTGGAGCGCTGTCATGAAACGGGGCAATTCGAAATATGACTTTTCCCAACCGCCAAATATTTGTGCTATGGCCTTTTGCTTCCCCATCCATGTTCTCCGGTAAGATACCGTATACCCATATTTTTCCTTCAACATCTCGATGATAGTATGCACTTTAAGAGAAGGATCAGTGCGAATAATGTCAACCACATCTTTACAGATGAATTCTGATGTCAAGGCCACGTGATCTGTAGTGTCGATGTTGCCTACACAAGAAGCAGAATGAGGTCCAGAATAACGCACAATTGTGAAGGTGTCAAGGTTGCCTTTGTTCTTTGTGGCGCGTATTCTCCAGGGGCATTGACATTCTTTCTTCCTTTTGCATTGTGCCACCCATTTGTGTTTATCGGACTCTATCACCCGATAGAATTGGTTCCGTTTGATAGAATACAAGCTCACCATATTGATGACTTGTTCTTTGTTGTCAAACTGTTGACCGACCTCAAACTCACCATCGGGGGTAAACCTTTTCTCACCTGATCCACTCATCCACGCATCAGTAAAACCTTCAGGGAGATCATACATTCTAGTGAAGTGGCTAGACGGGGCAGTTGATGTCACAGTATCACCATCATCTTCATCAGATTCTGTCATGTCGTCACCATTGATGTTCTCGTCTGCATCATCATCACTTCCCTGCCCATCCACAAATGACGCACCGTTGTGCAAATACCTGCCATCCTCCTGTATAACCATGTCTAGTACAGGAACCTTTGACGACTTTCCTGCATTCACCCCTGGAATGACATCATGCCTAGATACACCAGCATTTGATGTCGATTGAGTAGCATTAGCGTCAAAGCATTCCTCAATGTATACCTCCAGCGACGACATATCCTCCATCTGAATTATGCCCCACATATTTGTTATAGCTAGCTCATCAATGAGCGGCATAAGCATGTACTTTCCCCCGTTCATGGGAAATTTCATTTTCAACCGCAATGAACGGCCGGGATGAATCATTGTCGCTGCATGTATTTTTTGAAGGATCTCGACCATGCAAGCGCCACGAGAAACCATGACAAAGCTCGTTCTGCCACCTTCATGGCATATTTGCCCACCATTCTCATAATAGTTCCCTCCCCAATGACACACGAGTGGGAAGCTTGAGAAATCCATCTTCTAATAACAACTCATTGTCCAACATTCATGAGTAGGCATCAATATACACACTTTATACACATTCACATTTTTAATAGAAATTGCTTCCAAAATTGTAATATATCATTAACTCCAAATTCACAAACAATTCACATTTCAATAACAAACTACCCAAATTTTGATATCTACATTCAATGTCTACCTTTGAATACCCAAATTTAGGTACATTCAACTATACCCAAATGCCCAAATGTCAAAATACACATTACAATTTACAAACAATTTAAAATCAAATTTCAACATTTCATACATATTCACATTTCACAACAACTTCATTCACAATCAATTCATAATCCCAAAATTAAAAAAACAATTAACATTCTAAACCCTAAGTGCAAAATTATATGAAATGGATTTGGATTTACCTAGAATAAGGAGTAAAGAGTGTTGAAGATGAAGATGGAGGGTTGCCGGAGTGGAGTCGCCGGAGATGGAGGAGCGCCGGAGTTGGAGATGGCGGTTCGTCCGTCTTCTTCTTCGTCCGTCGCAGCAGCTACTTTCAGTTGGGGGAGGCTTTTGTGAAGTGTTCTGTTTGGGGCGAGACCCGATTTTTACTTAAGGAAAAGTCGCCCAACCGTTGGGCGACTTACCCCGACCATGGTTAACCCAGCAGTATTTTGGTAAATACTTTTAACCCAACCCTATTTTCGTAATTAATTAATTAATTAACATTAATACGGAAAAAAACTCCTAAAATTTAGAAATTTAGTTTTTTTTTGCTTTATATTCAGTAATTCAGGGCCTCCTATTTAGTTTGGAACAGGGCCTCTAAAATATTGGGTCCTGCCGTCCTGGTCTGGTGGTGTTTGAATATGAAGATTAGTGAAATCCCTACAAATATCCATGAGAGCAGGAAAATGATCATAAAAATATTCCTCCGCTATTTCAGATAGGATGGTTTTTATCACCAAACAAATTGAGTCTTGACATCATGAAAGAGGTCAAAAACCTCTAAAATATGTTTAAATGTGGGGACTTCTTTAGCAATATAATAAATCAAGTACACTGATAGAAATGACTAATGGAGGTGACAAAATATTGAAAATCAAAGATAAACTTAGCTTTATTTAGCCCTCAAACATGAGTATGGTACAAACTAAAGACAAGGGAGTAATTTCTCTTTTATAAATGTATTTTGATATGAATCTCTAGAATAAATTAAAATGACACAATACTCACCAAATAGATAAAAAATTATGCGTAACAAGAATAAATTGTCCTAGTATGATAAGATTTGGATGTTGAAAGCAATTGCGTAGAAGCAATGTTGTATTAGTAGAGAGAGTATTAGTGTTGGACATGTGATCTAACCCCTGTGATTTATATGTTGTGTGAATCGTCTTCTCACTTGTTGACCCAACACAAAACACATACTAGTATTTAGTATTTTAGTGGAGAATCTAGTAGCACAATTCACACAAGCAATACGTTTATGGACTGATATTAAGTTGAATTGGGAACCGGAGATAAATCATACAAAGAATAATGTAAGTGTTAAATGTCCCACACCGGAAAATTGAGAAGCACTAAAGTGCTATATTAAGGTTCGGGCTACTCCTCCTAACAGGTTGACCTTTTAGGATGGAATCCCAGGTCTTAACATGGTATCAGAGCCAAATCGATCCATGGTGTGGGGCCCCTTATGAAAAATGACGACATGATAAAAAAAAATTGACGAATCGATGAAAAAATGAATGACGACACGATGATCCAGACAAAGTGTCTGGTCGTGAGGAGGGGTGTTAAATGTCCCACATCGGAAAATTGAGAAGCACTAGAGTGCTATATTAAGGTTCGGGCTACTCCTCCTAACAGGTTGACCTTTTAGGATGGAATCCCAGGTCTTAACAGTAAGAGAGAAGACACACTACCAACTCTCATTTCTATACCTATTAATCTAGTCGCGGATCACGTACTTTTCTCAAGCATGGGCACATCTGTATAAACCGAGGCGAGTGAGTGGGATTGGGATCCTCTACCCGACTAGGAGGGTGCCTTGCGCATCGGACGGAAGGGGAACGGCCAACACGGCCTCAAGATTGGCAAAAAAGTGGAGCCCAAGATCTCCGACCGTTGAATTGTCGATCGGACGATCGGGAGGAAGCAAGCACTCTACCTTACTCTAAAGTAAGGTAGAGGCTCCGGATCCGAGTGAGTGAGGTGTAAGACTAATCTATTATGTCTAGCCCGCATGTGCAGACAATTTTTTTAAAAGCATATAGGTTATTGAGTGGCAATTTGAAGCGATATGCATCAATGTATTGTAAGTCTAGTTCCAACTCATTAAAAGCAATGTTTGTTGATTTTAAAACACTTTCATCATCAATTATATATTTATATCCACTCCGTTCCACAAAACTTAGCCAAATTTACTTTTCTTGGTCAATGCTAATAAACTTTGAACAAAGATTTTAGTTATTATATTTGTGTAAAATTTAAAACTTTTATACTTTTATAAAAGTGTCTTTAACGAAGAACATTTACATATAATTTTCATATTACAAATAATTTTGTGTTAAAATTATTTGTCAAACTCAATCATCATTGACCAAGAAAAGTCAAAATAGCCAAATTTTATGGGACATGAGGGATTGAGGGTTGTATTATCGTAAGTTTGCATTGTAGGAGTCTACATACAAAGAATAGGAATAATGATTGTAAAATGTGAACTTTAACAAGTAATTCTCAACCGAGCTAAATTACTTTCTTGACTCAATCATCTTCGGGTTGCAAGTACACCCTTTTCTAACATCTCTCTCATGGTTTCATGTTGTCTTTGCCAAAACTCGTCCTTTCTTTTATAATATTCAATTAAATTATCCACGAACTTCTTTTTAGAGACTGTTATTTGAATATCGCTTTGTCCTATAAAATTCTATCAATATTGACTTGCACATGGAATAATAAAGTAAAAGTTGTATGACTCAGATTTAGTGGTGGACTCGGGCCGGGTGGCCAGACCCGAAACCGGCCTGGCCCGACCCGGTGGTCCGGCCAGTGACCGGTCCGAGTAGGCCCGACCCGAGGGGTTTCCGGTCCGGGCTCGGGTAGGCCTGGACTCGGGCCGGTTCGGGCCCGGTTCGGGCCTAGGCCTGGCCGGGCCTCGGTTCGGAAATGTAAGGCCCGGCCCGCCTGTAAGCGGGTGCCGGTTCGGGCCGGGTGACCCGGCCGGGCCCCGGGCCGGGTGAACCGGCGGGTCGGGCCTTTAATTTTTTTTTTTTAACTTATAGTCTTATACATCTACTTGGAATCTTGGATATTAAAATTATTTAAAAACAATCTTGAAGTACATTTATGTGAAATAAGTAATAAGTACATTTTGAGAATTGAGAACAATTAATTCTAATACATTTTGTATTAAGTAATAATAATATAATATAATTAAAAAATGCGACATATAATAAAATTTAACTTTTATTGATTTGAAATATGAACTACAAATCTACAAGTTCACAAATTACAATAGAGAATTGAGGATAAAATAATAAATTGTAAAATACTAATCAATGTTCTAAAAGGCGCTAGGCGCTAGTCGGGCGCCAGCCCAGCGCCTAGGCGGCTAGGCGGGCGCCTAGTCGGGGACTAATCGGAGACATATATAGAAATTGCATTTTTATCTATATTTTTGCATAAATATGATAAGTAATATTTTATTTTTGTGTGTATAAAGTACATATATACTTATACATTACCAAACATGAAAGATAGAATTATCACATTTAATCATACGTAGTATATGATAAATAATCACTTAACTTCATTATGTTATAAATATAAATAATGATAAAATTTAGGTATATATACAAACATGTATAGTTTTATCTCAATTTACAACTTCATTTCTTTATATTCATGGCTAAAGTTAAAGTATGTATATTGCTTGGAAAAGTAAAATTAAAAAGTAAAGTAATGTTCGGCGAATCTAGACGGCCTAGGCGGCCAATTAGGCGTTCTAGGCGGGTAACTAGGCGCCATAGGCGGCCGACTAATTCACCTAGGCGGCAAACCAATTAGTCGGAGCGCCTAGATGAAAATCGGGGCGCCCGGCCACCGCCTAGCGCCTAGGCGGGGACTAGTCGGGCGCCTAGAACGATTTTTAGAACAGAGATACTAATCAATCGGCGTACCATTTCTCGGTGCTTGGGTCTTTATACTTTTTAAAATTATTTTCTATAATAGGAGATTTAGATTTCGTACCTATTTGGGATGAACCACCCTCGTAATCCGCCGCTTGCTCCTCATCCGGGGTGCCGTGACTCCCGGCGCCCCCCGCGTCCTCCTCCGGATCGTCATCCTCGAGCTCTTCTTCGTCAATGGTGTGAATATCGTCCGGGATGTCTCGTTGATGGAAAAATTGAGAATTTTGAGCCAATAGTTGTTGTAGTTGCTCGTCGGACATTCTTTCACCATCTCGCCGTTGGTATTCCGGTTCGTCCTCCCATCCACTTTGAGAAGAAGATCCGGACTGCCCGCTTTTTTTGCGCAAACTAGGATGAGTTCTCGCAATCTCCTTCTTTCGGTTGCGTTGGAGATTTCCGATATCCAAAGAATGTCTACCGCGCTCCATCTTAACAAATATAAAAGTATATCAAATATTTTAATATGTCTAAATTTACTAGGTGTACACTTTAATGAGAAATGCAACAAATTAATTAGTTTTATACTTTAATTAAAATGTCTAAATTTACTACTTGTACACTTTAATGAATAATGCAATAACTTAACTAGTTTTATACTTTAATTAAAATGTCTAAATTTACTAGGTGTACACTTTAATGAGAAATGCAACAAATTAACTAGTTTTATACTTTAATTAAAATGTCTAAATTTACTACTTGTACAATTTAATGAATAATGCAATAACTTAACTAGTTTTATACTTTAATTAAAATGTCTAAATTTACTAGGTGTACACTTTAATGAGAAATGCAACAAATTAACTACTTTTATACTTTAATTAAAATGTCTAAATTTACTACTTGTACACTTTAATGAATAATGCAATAACTTAACTAGTTTTATACTTTAATTAAAATGTCTAAATTTACTAGGTGTACACTTTAATGAGAAATGCAACAAATTAACTAGTTTTATACTTTAATTAAAATGTCTAAATTTACTACTTGTACAATTTAATGAATAATGCAACAAATTAACTACTTGAATATAACGCCATTAATGGATAAAAGAAGAGAAGAGTACCTTGGTGGATTGGCCGATTGGTTGATGATGAATAAGGAGAAGATAATATATGTATGTAAAGTAGATAATTAGATATCAAATTATCTACTTTAAGAAGATAGTAAGTATATATTAACTATTAAGTAGACAATAAATATTAGTAAAGTACTATATGTATATATAAGTAGATAATAAATATATAAGTAGATATAATATATTAATAATAAGTAGAGATTAAGTAGATAAGGAATATAAGTTATATAATATATATATATATATATATATATATGTAAAGTAGCTAATTATAAGATAATAAATATATATTAAGTAGATAATAAATATTAGTAATGTAATATATGTATATATAAGTAGATAATAAATATATAAGTAGATATAATAATATTTATATAAATAATATATATGTAGAGATAAATTGGAGAAGAATAGAAGATGAAGATGGAGATGAATGAAGATTTTAGAGATTGAGAGAATAGAGAATTAGAGAGTAGAGAAGGTGTAAAAAATGTATAGAAAATAGGAGTATAAATAGGTTTTTTTTTTCTCCCCCCACCCCCCAACCCCCAACCCCCCACCCCCCTCCAACGGCTATAGAGCCGTTTGGAGGCTCCCAAAAAGCCCCAACGGCTACAATAGCCGTTTGACAAAGACCAAGGCCAAAAAATTATTGAAAAAGATTTTTTTTTTTTTAAAAAATTAGCCGTTAGGCCCGGACCGGGCCCGGCCCGGCCAGGCCGGTTCAAGAAAATAAAGGCCCGATCCCGGACCGCCCTGCACCCGGGCCGGGTAGGCCCGAACCGCCTGAGGCCCGGTGGACCGGGTCGGGCCGGTTGCTACAGTGAGCGGGCCGGGTCGGGCCCGGTTCGGTCCGCCCGGCCCGAGTCCAGGCCTAGGCTCGGGTCACCCAAAACATGAACCGGACCGACCGTCCGGGCCCGGTTCCGGGCTTTTTTTTTAATTTTTTTTAAATCCCCGGGTTGGGCTGGGTATTTTGGGCCATTTGGGGGTGGTTTGGGGGGGGGGTGGGGGTTAGGGGGGGGTCAGGGGGTAATTAGAAGGAAAAAATGTAAGAGGCCCGAGGCCCGGCCCAAACCTGGACCGGACCCGGTGGCTACCCAGGCCGGTCCCGGGCCCAACATTTCCAACCGGCTGCCCGGTTGGGCCTAGGCCCAGCCCGGGCCCGAACCGGCCCGAGGCCACCACTACTCAGATTTGTGATAAGAAGGGAGAAACAACTTTAACCACATATTGATTACTTCAAATAAAAAAGACCAAATTTTTCAGGACATCCAAATCAGAAAATAAGGAAAGATGACCAGTGCAACAGAAGAACTATTACATTTGATTTGTATTTGCGAGTAATTTTGTTTTTAAAACAAATTTGAAAATACAAAAAATAGTGAAGATTTTTCTTTCGGGCTTTAATCTACCGGTCCTACCCTGCCCGAATCAAAACCGAACCCAAGCTACCATAAATCCAACTCGGGACTATACATGGCCTATGTTCCGGTCTCAAAATTTCATAACTCGAGGTCTTACAAATAAATTCTTGGATGTAGCAAAAATTCAATCCAAACCGAACTGATCCCAACCTGGCAACCCCAAGGAAGAGCCAACTTGAAATTTCAATTTGAGCAATTAAGATCATATTGGTGGTTGTAATTCCGTGTATAAAGAGGAAAGAGATGCTCTTGTTTTGGCAAAAGAGGGAATAAATATTGTTATTTTTCCTCATACATCATGACTTGAAACTTACAGAGGTAGAGGGTACATCAAAGATTACATTGGGCATGTCAAAAGGTTAGAGTGATAGAGGAAGTGTTCACTATAGTTTCAACACCATATCCTATCACTTTTCCGACAGCACTATATTTCCTATCACTTTTTTCCCTATTACTATCGTCTATCATGATCAAAAACACAAAAAGAAACTATGGCTATCAAAACTCGGCAAGGAAACTATAACGAGCCTGTTCTTGTCTGCTCAAAAGAATGTTTTTGCAAATCCACCCCAACAGTGACATCTGTTCAATCAGCAGGTCCAAATTTACATCTGCTGATTTCTTCCCACTTTCTATCAAGTCTAACCATTCCTGAAGAAATGCGTCTGAACAGTTCAAGCCCTTCAATTGAGTCTTCCACCTGCCCCAGCAACATAGAAGACCCTTGCGCACATATAAAGCCTACAAATGGCAGGAAAGTCGGAAACCCGTGTTATAAAACCAATTACGGAGTATATCATAGTCGTGCATTTAAAGAATAGAAAACCCAAAAACATAATCCTAAAAGTTCATTTATGCAAAAATAATCATTAAAACTCATCTTACATGTGATCTAACCCCTGTGATTTATATGTTGTGTGAATCGTCTTCTCACTTGTTGACCCAACACAAAACACATACTAGTATTTAGTATTTTAGTGGAGAATCTAGTAGCACAATTCACACAAGCAATACGTTTATGGACTGATATTAAGTTGAATTGGGAACCGGAGATAAATCATACAAAGAATAATGTAAGAGAGAAGACACACTACCAACTCTCATTTCTATACCTATTAATCTAGTCGCGGATCACGTACTTTTCTCAAGCATGGGCACATCTGTATAAACCGAGGCGAGTGAGTGAGGTGTAAGACTAATCTATTATGTCTAGCCCGCATGTGCAGACAATTTTTTAAAAAGGATATAGGTTATTGAGTGGCAATTTGAAGCGATATGCATCAATGTATTGTAAGTCTAGTTCCAACTCATTAAAAGCAATGTTTGTTGATTTTAAAACACTTTCATCATCAATTATATATTTATATCCACTCCGTTCCACAAAACTTAGCCAAATTTACTTTTCTTGGTCAATGCTAATAAACTTTGAACAAAGATTTTAGTTATTATATTTGTGTAAAATTTAAAACTTTTATACTTTTATAAAAGTGTCTTTAACGAAGAACATTTACATATAATTTTCATATTACAAATAATTTTGTGTTAAAATTATTTGTCAAACTCAATCATCATTGACCAAGAAAAGTCAAAATAACCAAATTTTATGGGACATGAGGGTTGTATTATCATAAGTTTGCATTGTAGGAGTCTACATACAAAGAATAGGAATAATGATTGTAAAATGTGAACTTTAACATGTAGTTCTCAACCGAGCTAAATTACTTTCTTGCCTCAATCATCTTTAGGTTTCAAGTACACCCTTTTCTAACATCTCTCTCATGGTTTCATGTTGTCTTTGTCTAAACTCGTCCTTTCTTTTATAATATTCAATTAAATTATCCACGAACTTCTTTTTAGAGATCGTTATTTGAATATCGCTTTGTCCTATAAAATTCTATCAATATTGACTTGCACATGGAATAATAAATAAAAATTGTATGACTCAGATTTGTGATAAGAAAGGAGAAACAACTTTAACCATATATTGATTACTTTAAATAAAAAAGACCAAGTTTTTTTTTGAAAACAAAAGACCAAGTTTTTTAGGACATCCAAATCAAAAAATAAGGAAGGAAAGATGACAAGTGCAACAGAAGAACTATTACATTTGATTTGTATTTGCGAGTAATTTTGTTTTTAAAACAAATTTTAAAATACAAAAAATAGTGTGTAGATTTTTCTTTCGGGCTTTAACCTACCCTACCCGAATCAAAACCGAACCCAAGCTACCATAAATCCAACTCGGGAGTCAGGACTATACATGGCCTATGTTCCGGTCTTAAAATTTCACAACTCGAGGTCTTACAAATAATTTCTTGGATGTAGCAAAAATTCAATCCAAACCGAACTGATCCCAACCTGGCAACCCCAAGAAAGAGCCAACTTGAAATTTCAATTTGAGCAATTAAGATCATATTGGTGGTTGTAATTCCGTGTACAAAGAGGAAAGAGATGCCCTTGTTTTGGCAAAAGAGGGAATAAATATTGTTATTTTTCCTCATACATCATGACTTGAAACTTACAGAGGTAGAGGGTACATCAAAGATTACATTGGGCATGTCAAAAGGTTAGAGTGATAGAGGAAGTGTTCACTATAGTTTCAACACCATATCCTATCACTTTTCCGACAGCACTATATTTCCTATCACTTTTTTCCCTATTACTATCGTCTATCATGATCAAAAACACAAAAAGAAACTATGGCTATCAAAACTCGGCAAGGAAACTATAACGAGCCTGTTCTTGTCTGCTCAAAAGAATGTTTTTGCAAATCCACCCCAACAGTGACATCTGTTCAATCAGCAGGTCCAAATTTACATCTGCTGATTTCTTCCCACTTTCTATCAAGTCTAACCATTCCTGAAGAAATGCGTCTGAACAGTTCAAGCCCTTCAATTGAGTCTTCCACCTGCCCCAGCAACATAGAAGACCCTTGCGCACATATAAAGCCTACAAATGGCAGGAAAGTCGGAAACCCGCGATATAAAACCAATTACGGAGTATATCATAGTCGTGCATTTAAGGAATAGAAAACCCAAAAATATAATCCTAAAAGTTCATTTATGCAAAAATAATCATTAAAACTCATCTTACATGTAATAGAGCCATAATGATTTCTTTAGTGCCTGCTCCTTCCCGCAGGCTGAGAAGTAAACCATACTGTGGTCAACAGAAAACAAACTATTAGAAGTGCATTAAAATTTTGATTTTTTTCTTAATAGGGAGAGATTATAGAATTTAATTTGGCAATTACCTGTTCCATGCCTTCCCCTTTCTTAGGGAATCTCTCCAGGCATACAAAATGGAAATCATCACTTTTTAAGTTTTGCATTGTCATCACTGAAAGCCTAGGCATTTGATTCTTGGAATTTAAGCATCCAATTGCAATGGGAAATTGTATTCTGGCTGATATAAGAACTGTTCATTATTCTCAAGCAGACAGTGAAAACTATGAATGTCTATTACAGCAATTAACAAAGTTGACACAAACACACCTTTAGCCCAAAACAAGTCAATACCCTCAGCTTTGCTCACCTCTGCAGGTGAAGGAACAAGTTGCTTCTGAATCCACAAGCTTAATATAATCTCAAGTCTATCCTGAACATGTACATTGCGAAATCAGGGTTTTCCTTGGAAGATGGAAAAGTGAGTTTAAAATTACAGATTTGTTCACTTGGACTTATTTCAGTTCCACACCACATGGGTTAGAGTTGAACAAACCAGACATGCAATAAATAGTACTCCCTCCGTCCCATAAAATAGTTCCCGCATTGACTAGGATCGGAGTTTAAGAAAGTGGGAATAAAGTGGAAATGTATGGTTGTGGTTGAGTAAGAAAAAGGTAAATGAACGTGAACCACACAAAATTTTCCAAAAGGGGAAATAAGAACTTTTTTTTGGGACGTCCCAAAAAGGAAACCGGGAACTATTTTGTGGGACGGAGGGAG